TGGAGAAGGTGGGCTTCAGAAATGCAGACTAGCTCCAGACCCTTTCTCATAATCCTAACACTGTACTGCCTCTCGTCATCATACCCGATAGTCTCAACCTCACCTCAGCCAGGTTTTGTCACAGTTCCCAGGTGACTTCCACAGTGGCTGTGGTCTCTTATCCAGGGCCCCCTGTGAAGCACCCCAGTTTGACTATCTGAGCCACAATTTCCAAAGTTTCCATTTGGCCCTCTCCCATCAGGCCTGAGAAGACTTGGGAGCAGCTTGGGGTGGGCTGTCTAGGAGCTGTCCCCATGGGGACACCCAACCAAAGCTCTCTGTCCAGATTGGGGCTGGTGTGTCTGTGCTGTCAGACTCAGGGAAGGGAAGCGCCTCCTATCAAACTATCAAAACGAAGGCTCCTAAGAAGGCTCGAAGAGCCTGCTACCAAAAGGGAATCTATTTTATCAGCCCTGGTGCCTCCCCCAGTGTGAGAAATGGCCTGACACCCTCTGTGTGGGAGGTCGGGACTGGCTTTAAGTGTCATCTCACCACTGGGTCCCATAATAGAGCAAGAGTCCTGATAAACATGGGAGTGAAATGGTCCATGGCCTCATTTTTTCCTTTTTTCAGTCTTTTTAAGTTATTCTAAGATGTGTGCACTCTTGCATGCACACGGGTAGTTTTAAGCTTCCCAATCTTATCTGAAGTCAATACAGTGCAAATTAGAAAAATAAAGAATCCTAGTGCATGAAGACTGGGCTGCTTATTTTAGATGTGGGAAAACCGAAACGTAAGAGAAGTTAAATGTCCCACTCAAAGGTCACACCACCAGTTACAGGCAGATCTGCAGTTGGAACCCCCTGTAGCTGCATGTCCCAGTCATGTGAATGGAAATTCCGACCGAGCTCCGCTTTGGCCATGGGGAGTGCAGCCTGGGAACATCCTGTTTAGAGCAGCAGTTCACCCAAATACAGCTTCAGCCTCTGTAGCATACTAAGTATGAGTTCTAGCCTTTGGGGGCTTAGGTAGGTTACGTAGCCAAAGGCTGACTATCGCCTAGAACTCCTGGACTTGTACCTAATCAATGATATTACAAACATATAATGCAAGCAATGTCATTTGGATTTATTACTCATATAAGAATATATGTATGCATTTTAAATGTGACTTGGACAGAAAGATCTTGTCAGCTTTGCACGTTGAGATTCTCTCAAATTTAGAAATAAGTGTATATTTATTATTGCAAGAACAAAACATGCCAATAGTTAATGATGTTTGTGGAAGTTGCTAATTTTCATCCAGAAAAGACCATTAACAACTTTTAAGTAGTTAAGTAGGGAAAGAAATTGACTTCTGATACTGGATATTATGAAAATACACTAACTAGGTAATTTTAGGAATAGCATACCCTTTTTGAACGTTTGAATGTTTGTAAAAAAATAATATTACAAGGCAAAGTAAAGGAGAATAGATGTTATTATAGGTCTAATCTTCTGGGTTGTTTGTGGCACCAAATTTGTAACATCTATAAAAATTATACTTAATTTTTGGCAATTTAACTGCACTTAGTCCATGATTCTTGCTTCTCTGCGGGACTCAGTTGAAATTAAGGCCATATGTCGAATTGCAGCATTGTGAAGGCAGAAGGAGGCTAACAGCTGAGAATGCAGAGCAAGACTTACTGAACTAAAATGGGAAATGTTAAAAATGTACTCAAATTTTTACCAATAAAGTGTAATTACATTTTTTAATCAAATTTTAGTTTTGCTCTTGTTCCCCACAATTCATTCTGGGAGGGCACCATCTGCCTCGACACTAGCTTTAGCTCAGTTCCGTGTTATTCCCTCAGCCTTTCGGCCCCTGGGTTTGCTTCAGCTCTGGGTGTAGATGGGAACGGGAGCCTAAGGGAGCCCTCGCTTTCCCTCCTCTTGCGTCCTCTGCTCACCTCAGCAGGGAAGGGCTGCAAAGGGTCGTGGGGCCTAGTCTTCTGTAGAGAGGAAAGGTGAGCAAGACTTGGACCCCACAGACATGCAGACCGGGTGTGCTCCAGGAAGGGGACAAGAGTTGGTCCCACGGTGGGTGGTTCCGGGAGGTGTATGTCCAGCTAATTTCTGCCTGGCTGGTGCAGAAGTGAGGCCAGCCGCTCAGCTCCTATTTCCTGGGCCAGGGGGAGCTGTTTCTTGCAATGTCAATATTTGGGGCTTGCTTTCTCTTTATTGACCCAGGCCCTAGTAACCCTCAGTTTTCACGTAATTGTAGTTCCCTCCTGCCTGTGTTGGAGGGTGGGTGATCTGCTGCAGCAAGCTTGGCCCTTTTGTTGTATATAAAGAGCTGAAACTTTGATCTTGAAAGGGTGGCTCTAGCAGTGCCCATGGCCTTTGAAGTATCACATGTCCAGAGTCTTCAGTTTGTTGCTATAGAGACCTTCCTCATCATTGCTCTATCTTAAAAAATGAAACCCAAAACAAACCCAAGTTTATTATTTCACAATCTCATGCATTAGGCAAGTAGCATTTTAACAAAAGCCATTTGTAAGGTATGAATTAGCAGTGGTAGGGGTGAAGCAGATAAGAAGTTCCTGCTGTATCATGCATTTAAAAAAATAGTGATCAGTCATCCAGGTAAATGTATCCAGTGACAAATGTATCCAGTGACAGCAAGTCAGAAATGCATGGTGGGGGGGGAAGGAGGCTGCAGCTTTTAATGGTGATGGATTGGTCACACCAGGCCTGCGGGATGGCTACTCTTAGTAGCTCCGTTTTACAGATGGGGCGACTGAGGCACAAGGAGCTTAAGTAACTTGCCCCAGATCGGCCTACTAATTAAGTGGAGAAGGTGGGCTTCAGAAATGCAGACTAGCTCCAGACCCTTTCTCATAATCCTAACACTGTACTGCCTCTCGTCATCATACCCGATAGTCTCAACCTCACCTCAGCCAGGTTTTGTCACAGTTCCCAGGTGACTTCCACAGTGGCTGTGGTCTCTTATCCAGGGCCCCCTGTGAAGCACTCCAGTTTGACTATCTGAGCCACAATTTCCAAAGTTTCCATTTGGCCCTCTCCCATCAGGCCTGGGAAGACTTGGGAGCAGCTTGGGGTGGGCTGTCTAGGAGCTGTCCCCATGGGGACACCCAACCAAAGCTCTCTGTCCAGATTGGGGCTGGTGTGTCTGTGCTGTCAGACTCAGGGAAGGGAAGCGCCTCCTATCAAACTATCAAAACGAAGGCTCCTAAGAAGGCTCGAAGAGCCTGCTACCAAAAGGGAATCTATTTTATCAGCCCTGGTGCCTCCCCCAGTGTGAGAAATGGCCTGACACCCTCTGTGTGGGAGGTCGGGACTGGCTTTAAGTGTCATCTCACCACTGGGTCCCATAATAGAGCAAGAGTCCTGATAAACATGGGAGTGAAATGGTCCATGGCCTCATTTTTTCCTTTTTTCAGTCTTTTTAAGTTATTCTAAGATGTGTGCACTCTTGCATGCACACGGGTAGTTTTAAGCTTCCCAATCTTATCTGAAGTCAATACAGTGCAAATTAGAAAAATAAAGAATCCTAGTGCATGAAGACTGGGCTGCTTATTTTAGATGTGGGAAAACCGAAACGTAAGAGAAGTTAAATGTCCCACTCAAAGGTCACACCACCAGTTACAGGCAGATCTGCAGTTGGAACCCCCTGTAGCTGCATGTCCCAGTCATGTGGATGGAAATTCCGACCGAGCTCCGCTTTGGCCATGGGGAGTGCAGCCTGGGAACATCCTGTTTAGAGCAGCAGTTCACCCAAATACAGCTTCAGCCTCTGTAGCATACTAAGTATGAGTTCTAGCCTTTGGGGGCTTAGGTAGGTTACGTAGCCAAAGGCTGACTATCGCCTAGAACTCCTGGACTTGTACCTAATCAATGATATTACAAACATATAATGCAAGCAATGTCATTTGGATTTATTACTCATATAAGAATATATGTATGCATTTTAAATGTGACTTGGACAGAAAGATCTTGTCAGCTTTGCACGTTGAGATTCTCTCAAATTTAGAAATAAGTGTATATTTATTATTGCAAGAACAAAACATGCCAATAGTTAATGATGTTTGTGGAAGTTGCTAATTTTCATCCAGAAAAGACCATTAACAACTTTTAAGTAGTTAAGTAGGGAAAGAAATTGACTTCTGATACTGGATATTATGAAAGTACACTAACTAGGTAATTTTAGGAATAGCATACCCTTTTTGAACGTTTGAATGTTTGTAAAAAAATAATATTACAAGGCAAAGTAAAGGAGAATAGATGTTATTATAGGTCTAATCTTCTGGGTTGTTTGTGGCACCAAATTTGTAACATCTATAAAAATTATACTTAATTTTTGGCAATTTAACTGCACTTAGTCCATGATTCTTGCTTCTCTGCGGGACTCAGTTGAAATTAAGGCCATATGTCGAATTGCAGCATTGTGAAGGCAGAAGGAGGCTAACAGCTGAGAATGCCGAGCAAGACTTACTGAACTAAAATGGGAAATGTTAAAAATGTACTCAAATTTTTACCAATAAAGTGTAATTACATTTTTTAATCAAATTTTAGTTTTGCTCTTGTTCCCCACAATTCATTCTGGGAGGGCACCATCTGCCTCGACACTAGCTTTAGCTCAGTTCCGTGTTATTCCCTCAGCCTTTCGGCCCCTGGGTTTGCTTCAGCTCTGGGTGTAGATGGGAACGGGAGCCTAAGGGAGCCCTCGCTTTCCCTCCTCTTGCGTCCTCTGCTCACCTCAGCAGGGAAGGGCTGCAAAGGGTCGTGGGGCCTAGTCTTCTGTAGAGAGGAAAGATGAGCAAGACTTGGACCCCACAGACATGCAGACCGGGTGTGCTCCAGGAAGGGGACAAGAGTTGGTCCCACGGTGGGTGGTTCCGGGAGGTGTATGTCCATGGCTTTGCTATGGCTGGGTGCCTGGGGATGCAAGTCCCAGAGCCCCATGGTGACGAGCACAGAGGGTTCCCTCTCAGGCGTTCATCTCTCTCTCCTCCCGGGTAGTTTGTGAAGTTCGCCAACATCGAGGAGGACACCCCATCCTATCACCGGAGCTACGACTTCTTTGTGTCACGCTTCAGTGAAATGTGCCACTCCAGTCACGATGACTTGGAAATCAAGACTAAGTGAGTAGGGGAAGGCAAGCTGAGAAGGGCCTGCTCAGCTCATGACAGAGGCATCGGTGGGTCTTGGAGTCCCCAGCCCGGATTGCATGTCTGATTTCACTGGCATTTACCTCTGCTCTGATGCTGCTGGTGGAAATGAAAGAGGCACCTGGTGGGACGTAGGTGGGCAAGCGGGCAGAGCCAGCCTCCCAGCAGGTGCTTTCTAAAGGAAAAGCCTCTGGGGCCTAAGACAGGGCAAGATGGAGGGTAATGGTCCTATGAGCCCAACCTGAGAGACAGTGACAACACACACATATGAACACACTTGTACTCTTTTGTTCAAAAGTACCTGCATTTATACCCCCCAGAAACACACCCTCACCATTATCCATCAAAATATACACCCACCAATAAGAAGCCTAAGTCCTCACACTGGCTGACCCTGCTGACCTCCTGACTTCATCTCTTCCACTCTCTCACCCAGTCTCCTCAGCCACACAGGCCTCCTTGCTGCCCTGCACACACACCAGGGACAGTCCTGACACAGGGCCTTTGCACAGCCTGTTCCTGCACCTGGAATGCTTCCTCTATGGCTTTGTCTAGCTCACTCCTTCACTTCCTGCAAGCCCTTCCTCAAATGGGCCCTTGTCAATGCCACCTTGTCCCAGACAGCTCCACACACCCACTCACCTTCTCTGAAGCTGCAGGAGTCACAGAGGGAAGAAGTTGGAGGCTGCCATTGTCATGTGGCCAGGGTGCCCATAGTAGACCCATCCTCTGTTTGTTCCAGAACTCCACTCATGGCTCCTTCCTTCATCACCTAGGAGGGGCCTGAGCACCACGTTCTGTGCAGTAGCAGGTCCAGGGAGCCCTGTGTGCCCCTAATAGCAGCTTGCTCACCACAGCCAAGTCTAGTGGGAGGAACAGGAAGTGAATCCCTCCATCCCCACGTTGCAGGTTCACAAAGCTTCCAAGCCTGTGGAACAACTCTGGGGCAGGTCCCTGCATGAGTGGTCGGCAGTGCCTGACCTCCCCACCTCCCCTCTCGTGAAGCAGCCATGGGCTCCCTGGACTTGTGCCGCCCCAGTGCCTCTGAGGAGGGCAGTGGGGGTCCCAGGAGGAAGGAGCTCCTGTCCTCTCCACAGCAGGAGCCCCTGAGTGGCCACCCCACACCAAAATAGCTTCGAAGAGACCAAAGGGGCTGGAGCAGTGGGAGCACATCCAGGAGCAGGTGCTGGGGAAGGCGAAGGACTGCAACCATGTGGGGCTGTAACAGGTGCTGATCACTGGGGCAGCACTAAATTTCCAGGAGGGAGAGCCGAGGGGACCCTCCTTGCACCACTACACACACACTGCACAGTGGGAGGCGGCCAAGGTACAGAAGCAGATGTGCTCAGCACCGGTTCCTGACTGTTGGGAGTGTACTGCACAGCAGGAGGAGGGGTGCTGAGGTCCTGGCACCCGGGCAGTACCCACAGATTGGCACTTGACATCCATGAAAGGAACGCCTGCAGGGTGCAAGGTGCCCAGGTATCAGACCTCCGTCCTCAGTTTGTCTCTCTCTCCCAGGCCCTCCCTGAACCCCTTTTCCCTGAGATCTCCCCATTGTTCACTCACACCCTGGGCAGAGCCCAGAGCACCTTACCAAGAGCCACCCATGGGTTTTGTAATTAGGTGCAAGTGTGCAGGCACATCCATGTGTGTGTGGTCCTCTTGTGCTCAGCAACTCCCCAGGTCCCTGGCACTTGGGGAGGCCCCCACTGAGTCCATTACAAGGAGCAGTATAAGAGGACCCAGCCTCTCACCATGTCTGATCTCTCAGAGTTTATTTTGAAAGGCTCAATCTGTTCTGGATAGCATGGAATGAAATGTGTACATACGTGGAAGGTATTATGGGGAGATTGAGGGAGTAAAGAAAATTAATTCACATTGACATATAAGGAAGCTCTGGATATCAAATTTTTCACCCACCAAGCCTGGTTTCTTGCCAGCCAGGCTCTCTTGGATGGGACATAGGAGTCCAGCATGTTTGGGATATATTTCCATTGTGCATTAGGCAGTGCCTTTTAACCCAGGGCCAAGAATAGTTAGTGGAATTGTATTCCAGTTACTTCATTCACAAGTCTGGACAGCCTCTGGCTCAGGGTCCTGACTCAGGGTCAGGAACAGAGCAGCTGTGATTCCCTGGGAAATCCTAGCCCATCGGCCTGACCCTAACTGCTCCTGACCCAGTGCTGTTAGGCGGCTCCCACCACTAAGTTCTGGTCACCAGGTGAGACCCAAGGTAGCTCCCTGGTAACCACACTCCAAACTGAAGCTGAAAATACAAATAGCAACTAAACAGTTAGAGAAACTGCTCAACTTCAATATCTGTCAAAAGGATATGAGCTGAAATAGCTACGAGATGTGAAAGTTTTTCAGAGCCACACAACCAGAACAGATGCTCAAAATGCGGTCCCCGCTGCTGGTGTGGCTTGCAGGCTGGGGGAGGGGAGAGTAATTGGCCAATATTGGGAGACTTTCTTTTCTTACCTTTTGGGTAATTCCACTCCTGCCAATGATTTGAAATGCAGTAAAATATTTTATATGGTGATGTCCATTGTAGCACTATTATAGTAGCAAAAAGTTTAGAATTAACTTAAATGATTGATAGGGGACTGGTTTAGAAAGTTCTTAAGACAATACATCATGCATTTGATTTATGATACAGGAAGATGCTTATGATAGAATGTTATGGAGAAAAAAGCCAATATAAATTATGTAGGCAGTAGATTCTTCATCCTGCTGTACAGCATGTGCAGAAGAAAGGAAAGACACCAGAATGCCAACAATGGTTATGTTTGAGGGTTAAATTTTCTTTATGCTTTTCTGTATTTAGCATGTATCATTTTATAATAAGAAGAAAAAATTTATTAAAATTCTGAAAAACAAAAAGGGACTTCAGGCTGCATTACATGGCCAGTAAAGAAGGCCCCTCCTGCAGGGACCCTGGGGTAGTGCAGCGGAGCCTGGGGCAGCGGGGGTGAAAGGCATCCCCTTCAGTTACTCAGCCAGCTTAGCCCCAGCTGCAATGCCTCCGTGGCCAGAGAGTCTGGCAGCTTGTGCCTCTCCTTCCAGATCCCCTACCCCCATAGACTGCTCACAGCCCTGGGTTCTGCCTCATCAGCTGGTGGCCGCACTTTGAGCTTTTATAACCTTGGGCTCAAACTGTTGCAAACCCAACTAGGTACTAACAAGAAGGAGTCTGGAGCACTGGCACCCTAGGGATGAAGCCCCGGTGGCACAGGTCAAGGAGGGTCTGGGACTCTTCTGAGGTGAGCCAGAAGTCATGGCTTCCTGGGCTCATATCTACCAGCACAAGAAGCCAGCAGTCAGGAGGTACAGAAGGTGAGCTGCATTCTGCCTTTTGATGGAAGAATGCATCCCTCACCCCCATGCCATGCTGTTCTCCTTGCCACAGAAGCTGGACTTCTCAGGGCCTGAGTTGTTCCTGACCTCATTTCACCCTTTTCCTTACAGAATCCGAATGTCGGGCATCAAAGGTCTACAAGGAGTGGTGAGGAAGACAGTGAATGACGAATTGCAGGCCAATATCTGGGACCCACAGCACATGGACAAGATCGTTCCCTCACTGCTTTTCAATCTGCAGCACGTAGAGGAGGCGGAGAGGTAAGCAGGAGAGGGGTGCAGCCCTCCTGGTACCCGCCCAGGCTGCTTGGGTACCACACGGCTGGGGCTAGCTGGTAAAACCCAGCTACCAAGCCAGGGGTCTTGGCCTCTGTGGCTTGTTCTGCAGCGATCCCAAGGCTGGCTTCCTGGGAGCCTTGGGTCTGGCCTCTGCAGCCTGCTGTCCCCCTTGAGGTCTAGGCTCAGGAAGGAAGGACAGTAATGGTGTGGGCTTCTGGGACTGAGAGTGCAAAGGGCCAGGTCACCTCTGTCTCTCTGGAAGCAACGGGCCAAGGAGGTTTTCAGATGCCTTTTGAAGCTCCAGTTACTGAGGACTTTCCCTCCCTGACCTTCCTTCCCTCCTCACTTCCTAATGGTACTTCAGGCCCTTAGAACATGCCTGCTTGACCAGCCCACAGCCACTTGACAGGAGTTACAGACATTGGGATTTAATCTGAGAGCCCCCAGAAGGGGGGTTGTCCTGTCCATGCCCCTTGCTCTTCCCCTCTGTGAAGTGGGATGGAGGGAAAAATCCATGTGGCCGCCCACCTTGGCTGCGCTAGACGCTGGATGAACGTGCGTCCCCTGTCAGTTGAGCCATTGCTGCTGGACCAGGAAGTGTGCCCTCTGGTGGCTGCTTCTGGAACCGCACCTCACCAACAATCTGCCAAGGGTCTCTGGTGGTCTCAGGGCCAGGAGTCCTGGGGCTCCTTCTGTCCTCATCCGAGCCCACGCCACTGTGACTCGGGTACCACTGAATCACACCTGAGCCAACCGCCGTGCCTTTCTTCGCCCCCTCCCTCTTTTTCCTCTCCCTCCTCTCTCCCACTTTCTTTCACTCTGCCTGCCTCTTCAGACCCCGTCTCTCCCTCTGAGGTCTTAGGAGCATGGCGACACTTGTGGTCTGTGCCTCACCAGGCCCGTGGTGTGCAAGCATCTAGCCTTCCCGTGGATTCTCATCGGGCTTATCTTTAATGATTTCCAGAAAAAGAACTTTATCCTTTCTCCCACAGTCTTCCTCCCCTCTGGGCTTTTTTACCCCATTTAATTTCTGACAGCCGTGATGTCTCCCCCATTAACTAATGCAGTCTACGTCAAATTCCCGCCTGGCCTACTCTCATTATTTGTACGGATGCAACACAGCAACGGGGACATGCACAAGGCCTGACTCCCAGCCTGGATCCTGTCCTTTACCCACTTGACTTCGTGTTCCCACAGCCGCTCTCCTTCGCCCCTCCAAGCACCAGAGAAGGAAAAGGAGAACCCGGCGGAGTTGGCTGAGAGGTGCCTTCGGGAACTGCTGGGCCGGGCTGCCTTTGGCAACATAAAAAATGCCATTAAGCCTGTTCTCATGTGAGTGCCCCCCACCACCCCATCCTCCGCAGCCTTCAGCAAACTGTTCCAGGGCCTGGCACCTCCTTGCTGACTCAGAAGGGAAGGTGTTCTGATTGTTGAGTCATGGCTAAGGCAGTCCCTTCTCTGTGCCTGTGTTCCCTGCGCTGTGACAGCAATGGTGTGGGCTTCCAGGGCTACCACACAGTGGACAGGTGCAGTTTTGGTGAGAGTTGTTGGTAGGAGGGCCCCCGAAGCTGAAGGAAGGTGCCCGGCTTGATTCCTCAGTCCACAGCTGTGAAGCCTGTGCCTTGACCTCCCTCCAGCTTGCGCTGGGGGCTGCCCTCCTGATTCCCTTCTCTCACCTGCACCTGTAAACCCTTCCTCACTTACCTGGGAGCAATGTGAGGGTGGGGTCTCTCTTCCCTAGCATCACTTTACATTTCACAGCTGTTCTCCCTCATTTTCTCCCTCACAGCCATCTGGATAATCATACTCTCTGGGAACCAAAGGTGTTTGCCATCCGTTGCTTTAAAATCATCATGTACTCAATTCAGGTACAGTGGCTCCCCACGTCCAGCTAGACCCCCAGCCAAGGGCCCGTGAGGGGGCAGGACAGCACACTGAAGGGGAAAGCCAGCGGTCCTCTGTGACTTCTCCTAAGCCCCTAGTTGTCTACACCAGGGCTGCTCAACTTAGCAGTGGAGAAGGACCAGTTTAGTTTTATTTCCAATACAGCACAGACCAGTACTTGGTAAAATACAATTAGAAAGAACTCCTAGAAACAGCAAATGAAAAAGTCATGCCAAATACATGCCCACAGACCACGTCCGGCCACCACAGTATCATCGAATCGCTTACTAAACACCTACTCTCAATTTTTGCACTTACCTCAGTGTAAATGGGCTGCATTCTAAGCAGCCACTGGACTATAAACCCTGTGGCCTCTCTTGGCCCTTACTGAGAAGACCTGGTACCTGGAAAAAATGAAAAGGAAGGCAGTATTTTAAAGGTGATTTTTGACGCATTTGGAGTGAAAGGATCCAGGAAAAATGTAGAAATGAGGTGTTCACTGCGGCTCTGTTCCTTGTCAGACAAAAAGGTGGGGTTGGGGGATTCTTAAAAAGAGCTAGGGTAACTGGGCACTGCCTCCAGTGCCCATGGCCTGTGGGTCCCAGCCAAGAGCTGCCCGGGCTCCGAGGCCCCGCAGGGGTGGCTGTTTGGGGACCAGCACGTCTTCCTCCCCCCAGCCGCAGCACTCCCACCTGGTTATCCAGCAGCTCCTGAGCCACCTGGACGCCAACAGCCGCAGCGCGGCCACGGTGCGGGCGGGCATCGTGGAGGTCCTGTCCGAGGCTGCCGTCATCGCTGCCACCGGCTCTGTTGGTGAGGGGCGCTGAGGGACGGGATGGGGGCTGGGAATCCCCCAGGGATAAAGAACCACCCGTGGCAGGAGGCTGCCTCCCTTTCCAGGAAAGGGCAGTGAACGGTGGGGGGCCGAGGCGGCCCCTGGCTGAAGCGGGCCCAAGCCTGCCCTGTAAGGCAGAGCGGGGGAGAGTGAGCCCGGGTACCAGGCCTGGATGTTGGGTCTCCCACCCCACCGCGCCCAGGGCCCACGGTGCTGGAGATGTTCAACACTCTGCTGCGGCAGCTGCGGCTCAGCATCGACTACGCCCTGACCGGGAGCTACGACGGTGCGGTAACCCTCGGCACCAAGATCATCAAGGAGCACGAAGAGTGCATGTTCCAGGAGGCCGTCATCAAGACGATAGGTGGGGCCAGGGGCGGGGCGCAGGGCTGCCCCTCAAAGTCATCATCCGGGTGTGGCAGGAATGCTGTGGAACAGACGTTATTCATGGATCGGGGACAATGGGATCCACTGTCCTGGGCTGGGCTTGAGTGAGCCCAGAACAGTCTCCACGGGTTTCTCAGCCTGGACTTCGGGCTAAGAGAGGCGAGCTCTTCCTGCACCCCACACCCCATCCGGCCTGCCTGGTGCTTCCACGTTGGGGCAATTGGAGGCAAGGTGGGGAGGCAGGAAGAGAAAAGGCAGGAAAGAGAAAAAAAGAGGAGAAAGCCGTGGATATGCACGTGGATGTGGGGGAGGGAACCACTGAGCCGCCCCACGGGTGTGGGGGGCGCTCTCACTTTGACAGCCTCCCTGTGCCAGAGCCCCTGGAGTGGCCCAGAAGCAGTGTCTACCCCTCGGGAGAAGCAAGGAAGGAACCGCAGTCTGGGAGAGGCTGCGGAGCTGGCTGGCTTTCTCCCACTGATTGAGGCTGTGGGCCCCTCCTGGGCCAACACCTCCCCCTGTCCCCACAGGCTCCTTTGCTAGCACGTTGCCCACTTACCAGCGCTCCGAGGTGATCCTCTTCATCATGAGCAAGGTCCCTCTGCCTTCCCTGCACCACCCTGTGGAGATGGGGAAAACAGGGTAAGTCCTGGCCTTAACCCCTTCTTCCTCTCCCAGTCCAGATTCCACCCCGGCTTACCTTTCCATGTTTCCCAGCTCTCCCCTTCCTCCACCCAAGCTTTCCTGGTCAGACCTTGCCCCCCTTGTTCTACTCTCAAATCCCTCACCAGCCTTTAGTGGTGTGCTTGGATCCCACAATTTCTCAAGTTGCCCCCACCAGGAATTATCTGCCACCTTGGAGGGAGCCGTTAATTCTCTGCTCCTTGGCTCTGGAAGTCACTGTCCTGGGTAACCCACCAATATATGTCTCATGGAGAATGTAATCAGGGGAGCTGGGTAGGCAAGTGTGGGCTCTCTGCCCAAATCACCCTCCTGGTGAGTATTTTTGTCTCTGGTCTACAGGGAGAACAGGAACCGACTGACCCAGATTATGCTGCTGAAATCCCTCCTTCAGGTGAGCCCTTCCTATCCCCATTCTGCTCTGCTTCTGCAGGAGGCAGCTCCTTCCAAGAGACCAAGAGAAGGTTACTGCATCCAGTTGTGCAGGTTGCACACTACCCAAATATGCCCAAAGAGTAGGGGACTGAAATTCAGCCAGTGTTCCACTCACTAGCCAGGCTGGGTACCCATAGGGGTGGGTCCTCCAGACAAGGATACCTGTTCTTAATTTTCACAGAAGTTCCTTATCAGCAACTGATAGCTTGGTCACTCAAACATTATCTCTGTATTGAGATGGAATCTCTTGGTTCCTGCCTTTTTCCCCTCCAAGTACCTTCCCAGCCCCTTCCATCTCTTTCCCCTTGGCATTTGTGCCTGCCTCAGTCTCCCAGCCACCATCTCTCCTTCATCAGTGTTTTCCATTCCTCTTCTTTATGTCTTTGCAGCCATCACTCAGTCTAGATTTATTGTTCTCGAATACCATTCCTATGACTGACTTGCTGAAACATATAGACTCCCTAGAGACTGTGAGCTGACAGGCTGAGTGGGGTCGGGGAACCTGTACTGGGAACAAGCTCCCCAGGTGTGCTTATGCATAAGCCCTGCCTACGTGCTGGGCATCTCACAACTGCATTATCCTCATAGTTGTTCTTACCTCCATCTGCTCACCTGTCATATATACAGCCACAAGAACAGTTTTCTAGAAATGCTCCTTGTTAAAGAGTAGGTGTTAGAGGATCACGGGAAGATGGCGGCATGAGTAGTTCAGAGGAAATCTCCTCCCCAAAACATATATATTTATGAAAATACAATAAATACAACTATTCCTAAAAGAGACACCAGTGGATGCAGTACAACAGCCAGGATACATCTACATCTGCGAGAACTCAGCATCACATGAAGGGGGTAAGATACAAGCCTGGCCAGGCGGGACCTGAACGCTCCCCCACCCCAAAACCCAGTGGAAAGAAAGGAGTCGGAACAGGGAGGGAGTGAAAGCCCAGGACCGCTAAACAACCAGCTCTAGAAATCCGCACCCGGAACGCAGACACAAGGTGCACGGGGTGCTGGATATTAGAGAAACAGAAAAGCAAAAACTGTGGGCAGGTCCCCACAACTGGCACCCCCTGAGACAAAAGAAAAGTGAGTGCTTTCTGCAAGTCTTAAAGAGACAGGGACCCCACAGCTGAACGAAGTTGTCCTGGCAGCTGGGAATACCGCCCTAAACGGAGGCAGTGCAGCTCTGAAGCCCCTCACAGGACAAGGCAGCCTGCCAGTCATTCCTCCAACTGGCACAGACCCCGACACACAGGCCCAGTAGCAGGAGAGTGGGAGCGTGCACCGGGGGTGGAAGCGCTGGAAGGAACCAGCAGCAGATCCGTGTGCTGCAGGGCTAGCCCACAGCCGCGCGACCAAACAACCTGGGCGCAGCTCGCACACACCGGCGGCAGTGAAGCCAGAGCCCGGTAGAAGCCTGCGCGGGAAAGCCCCATGCGCACCGGCAGCAGAGCCAGAGGGAGCAGGCGCGCTCCCAGGAGCTGACCGGAATCCCAGCCCAACACACAGCCACCCGGGCCAGACCCAAAGGCTGCTGCTGCCACATAGCTGCCCGGCAGGGTCGCCACTAGCATAGAGGAGCACACATGGCATGCCTGCCACTCCCTGCAGGGCTCTGCACTGCTCTAACGGACACCCTGCCCACAGCAGCTTAGGAGATTAACCCAGTGGCTGCTCCAGGAGTGCAGGTAGCTGTCACAGGCAGTGGAGAAGGGCAAGGCATCCAGCAAGTAGGAAAGGACTTTCTTCTCCCAGCTGACACACCCGCAACCTGCCTACAACCACTGCGATCACCATGAAAAGGCAAAAAAATCTGGTCCAGTCCAAGATAGTTACACCTGAGAAAGGATCTGCAGAGGCAGACCTAACCAGTCTCCCTGAAAAATAATTCAAAATAAAAATCATAAACATGCTGACAGAGCTGCAGAGAAATATGCAAGAGCTAAGGGATGAAGTCTGGAGGGAGATTACAGATGTCCAGAGGGAAATAACAGATGTCCAGAGGGAGATTACAGAAGTGAAACAAACTCTGGAAGGATTTATAAGCAGAATGGATAAGATGCAAGAGGCCATTGATGGAATAGAAAC